ATCTATGAGCACAGCATATCTTTCCATTTATTCATATCTTTGTTTTTCTTCTTCTGTGGTTTATGGTATCTGCATATAAGTCTCATACATATTTTGTTAGATTTTTACCTAAGCACTTAATTTGGGGGGAGTGTTATTATAAATGGTACTGTTTTTTTAATTTCAAAGTCCAATTTTTCATTTCTGGTATATAGGAAAGTAAGTGACTTTTGTATATTAACCTTGTATCTTGCAACCCTGCTATAATTGCTTATCAGTTCCAGGAATTTTTATTTTTAAATCTTTGAGATTTTCTACACAGACAGTCATATCATCTGTAAAAAAAATCATTTTATTTATTCCTTCCCAATCTGTATACTTTTATTTCCTTTCTTATCTTATTACATTAGTTAGGATTTCTAGTGCAGTGTTGAATAGAAGTTGTAAGAGAGGATATCCTCGCCTTGTTCTCAATTTTATGGGAGGGAAATTGTCCATTTTCTCACTATTAAGTATGCTGTTAGCTGCAGGTATTTTGTAGATGTTCCTTATTAAATTGAAGATGTTTCCCTCTATTCCTAGTTTGTTGAAGTTTTTTATCATCAAGTTGTAGTATAAACAACATTTCTACAAAAATAAAAGAAAAAATCCTACCTCCTTAATAAATCAATTTGTTTTTCCTACTTTGAAGTTTTATTGATTTAAAATAATTAAAATATACTCATATAACAGGGGAGAGATTATACAATGTGTAATTATATAAATATGGGTAGACATAGGTATACAATTGCCCTAGGCATACATAATATTATATATTTGGTGATTAGAATGTGACCTTAATTTTGTAATATTACTTTTTCCACTTAAAGTTATAGGCCATTTTCAGTGTTCCTATACAGATTTCAAAATCATAGTTTTAAGTATCTCCAAATTCAATCACTATAATTCATTCATTAATTCATTTCAAAGCATTTATTAGGCATCCACTATGTATGAGGTACTGTCTTGATGACAGAGGTGCAAAAAGTAAGACACAAATCCTACTTTCGGGTACCTCACAGTCATAGAAACAAATGCAGAATATCGCATGTTCTAATTTGCCTTGATGGCAATTTGAGCAGAGAGTTTTGGCAGCTTGGAGGTTGAATGGGGCATTTAACTCAGTGGAGAGGACAAGAAATATTTCTCCAAAGAAGTGACATTTGATGTGACTCTTGAATGATAGATAGGAATTTTCCAAATGAAGAAGCAGTACTATACTGTTACAAAAGTTTAAAGTTGTGAAAGAGTCTGGAATGTTTCAACAACAATTTAATGACTCAGAAGCTTGAAATTAATTGAGGAGAGCACTAAGTGACGATACAAAGGTGGATTGGGATAGATTGTGAAATATACTGAGTTTCAAAATAAGAAATTTGCTTTTCCAAATGGAATCAGTAGAGCCCATTAAGCAGTGGGTTGACAGGATCTGCTTTGAATTTAGCAGGATACTTAAGGAGTGGTGTAGAAGGTAAATTCTTCATCATATTGAGATACCATAATTTACTAAACCCTTTTCCTATTGGGGGAGGGGGGCATTTTAACTGGTTTCTAATTAATAGATATTTTAAATACTATAAAATGAATATATCTATGCATTTGATTTTATATTATTTTGCAATTTTCCTTACAGCAAATTTTTGTGAATAAGATAAAAATATCTTATTCAACTGTTTTTGTAATAAATTTTGATGTATTTCATTAGTTTGTTATGCATTTTGTGAAATTTATTTCCTTTTTCTATATGTACCTTTCTCAGTATAATTCAATGTACATCTATTAAATATCTACTACGTGCTATTTATAATTTTATATGCTGTGGGAAAGAGCATGAATACAAGTCAAGGGGCCTACAATCTAGTTGGGGAGATAAAGAATAGACTCTAAGACATTATGGAGGTCTTTGAATCCTAAGCTGAAAAATATAAACTAGAGAAAATGGGGCAGCATCTAAAATTTTAATTAGGGCAGAGATACAACCATACCCTAGAAAGAACACTTTGGTTGAAATAGGTAGGATAGATTAGAAGAGACCTGTAGAAACATTATTAGCAGCCAAAGGGAATGAGATCTTGAAGTATGGGGCAGAGAAATGGGAATGATCTATTCAGGATTCTGAAATTGAAAAATTCTTCTCTAAAAATGGGAGGAAAATCATCTCTAATGTGGGCAAAACCAAGGAACACTCTCCTTTGTGGCCATTCAATGTTCAGTAACATCCATATATCTTTTTCTGGAATAAAAAGAGAAGAGGGGGTCCAAATTGGTTAAGGTAATTTTCCATAATCAAAACAATTTTAAAAAATTCTAGTAGAGTTGAAAAGTCATCATTTATGATATCTCAGTGAGAGGCTAACATAACAATCTGGGTAGATATGGCGCTATTTTTTTTTTTTTTGCGATACGCGGGCCTCTCACTGCTGTGGCCTCTCCCGTTGCGGAGCAGAGGCTTTCGATGCGCAGGCTCAGAGGCCATGGCTCACTGGCCCAGCCGCTCCGCGGCACAGTGGGATCCTCCCGGACCGGGGCACGAACCCGCGTCCCCTGCATCGGCAGGCGGACTCCCAACCACTGCGCCACCAGGGAAGCCCGATATGGCGCTATTTTATGTGATCACTACAACACCCCCATGAGGTAGTTATTAGAAGTTTTTGAGGAAGCAAAGAAGTTAACCTTGATGGGGAGAGAACAGTGAACTGGGGTTTGATATCAGCTAGAGCAATGCTTCTCAGCTTTCAGATGCATCTGAATCACTTGAGGATTTTGTTAAAAGGCAGATTCCAATTCAGTAGGTCTGGGATGGGGCCTAAGATTCTGCATTTCTAACAATCTTCCAAGTGATGCCCCTGCTGCTAGTCCACAGATCGTACTTTAGGTAGCAAGGATCTGGAGCAGTGGTTCTCAAATTACAGTGTATTTTGTTGGGCATTAAATGGTTCTGAGACCAATTCCAGTGTGTGTATGTGGGTGGCGGGTGGTCCTCAGACACCAGCAAACAATTCTCAAACACTAGCAGGATGTCCAAGAATTCAACTCAATTGTGATCCCTATCTACACAGAGACAGCGTCAGATTCCACAGATTGAGGGCTCAGTCCTACAAGACTTCACCCTCGACTCCACTTCAGACACCAGTCATAAGCCCTGGTTATTACCTGGGCTTCTGAACAACCACCTACAGATTGGAGGTTCCAACAACCCCCTCCTGGGATTTGGACTTCAGTTGCCATTCTCAAGTCCAGGTTGTTACCTATACTTCTGACCAACCGAGTATAAATCAGAAATTCCCACGAACCCCTCCCCCATTGGGTTTGATTAATTTGCTAGAGCAGCTACAGAATACAGGAAACCCATTTACTCACTAGGTAACTGGTTTGTTATAAAAGAATATAATTTAGGAACAGGCAAATGAAAGAGATACATAGGGAAAAGGACACTGAGCTTCCATGCCCTCTCCAGGCACACCGCTCTCCCCTAGTCTCTTCGGTTCACCATCCTGGGAGCTCCCTGAACCCCACTCTTTTGGGTTTTTATGGAGACTTTATGACATAGGCATGATTGATTAAATCATTGGGCATTGGCTATTGATTCAACTTCCAGCCCCTGTCGCCTCCCCAGAGGTCAGGGGATAGGCAACTGAAAGTTACAACCCTCTAATCACAGTGTTTGCTCCATTGGTAAACAGCCCACAACCTTAGTTGCTTTCTAAAGGTCACCATATTAACATAACAATAGACACTTGTATCACTCTCAACAGTTAGGAAATTAGGAGAGTATTGGGAGCTCTGAGCCAGGAACTGGGGAAAAAGACCATATATGAGAATATATTTTGACCATCTGGATAACCAAATATATATTTCTTATAAATCACAATATTGCAGCATTTAGCTTATTTCTTTTTTATGTTATAAATAATGCTGTCATTCACATCCTTAAACATAAATCTTTGTCTACAATGCTGAATCTTTCTTTAAAAGGCTAAGTTGCAAGGGTTTCATATTCTTGTCACATTGCTGTCCAGAAAATATTGTACTAAGATCTCATTTCACCTCATTTTTGCTAACACTGAGTAATTGTCTTCGTAATTAGTAAAAACGAGGTAAAATGGGAACACTTAGTGGACAGAATGTAAGTTAGTACAGTGTTTCCTGGAGAACAATGTGGCAAGTGTATGAAACTCTTGAAACTTCCCTAGGCTTTGAAATATATATACTATTTAAAAGACTCAGATGGGGAGTTCTTACTTGGAGTCTTACGTCATGGCAATCAGGTGACAGCTGGGCCTGGATGTGTGCTATGACCTCCCTGCTCACATATTTAGAACGTCAGTTGGGATAACTAGACCTTCTGGGGGCTGGCTGCACATCTCTCTATCCCAAACATGCTCTTCATGTGGCTAGCTCAGGCTTCCTCACAGGATGGTGGTCTCAGGGTAGCTGGACTTCTTACGTGGCTGCTGACTTCCACCACAGCAAGCTTTCTAAGAGACTCAGGCAGAAACTGCAAGACTACTTATCACTTAGTCTTGGAAGCCATTCAGTATCATCCCAACTGCATGCTGTTGGTCAAAAGCAAGTCATAAAGACAACTTAGATTCAAGGGGAAGAGACTGCACGAGGGCACAAATACTGGGAGATGTGAAGGGTTGTGGGGAGGGGACTTTTTTCTTTTTTTTTTTTGCTGTACGCGGGCCTCTCACTGTTGTGGTCTCTCCCGTTGCGGAGCACAGGTTCCGGACACGCAGGCCTAGTGGCCATGGCTCACGGGCCCAGCTGTTCCGTGGCATGTGGGATCTTCCCGGACCGGGACACGAACCCGTGTCCCCTGCATCGGCAGGCAGACTCTCAACCATTGCGCCACCAGGGAAGCCCGGGACTTTTTAAATTGGCATTTCTTTCAGAAAACATTTTCAAATGTTTGTTGGCTGTTTATAAACCATGACCTTAATTCTCAAGTTGCCATGAATGCTTTTTACTTACTGCAGGAAGAACCTGAAGAAGGGAGGGCCAGTATTTACAAGTCAGTGGTCATCAACACTTCTAAGGAGATGATGTGCTTCAGTGACTACCCCATCCCAGATCACTATCCTAACTTCATGCACAACTCCCAGGTCCTGGAGTATTTCAGGATGTATGCCAAAGAATTTGACCTTCTAAAGTACATTCGATTTAAGGTAGGGAATTTCGTGGGTATCTCTGTGTTTTGAGTTGTCAAGTAAATGAATAACTGGTCTTATTTACCAGTGCTTAGATTGGTTTGATATGCTCATGTATCTATTCTATCCAGAATCCACTCTTTGTCTTCCCTGTGTCTCAAAATATTCATGGAAAGGTCCCTCTTCTATGTATTTTGACTGCAGATCCAGGAAGCCACCTTCATTTCATTGCCTTCATTCTATATCATTTGATTACAATAAAACAATGAGGGGAACTGACAGGTATGGGAATTTTAAAACCTTCTGTTTCCACAACTTGCTGCTTAGCCCTTTTATACTTTCTGAAGTACTTTCCAGTGCATTATTTATGTGATCACAACAACCCAGTGAAGTAGGTATTGAAAAGTTACTAGGAAGCAAATAAGTTAACTCTGGCATAGAGGGAGGAACATTGAATTGGGAAGCAAAAACTTGAGTTCTAGTCTTTGCTCTACCACTAATCAACTTGTGACTTCAGACAAGTAAGTTCCTCAACGTTGATGTATCTTAAGTTTATTTGTAAAACAAGATGCCTGTACTAGATCACTTCACTGGTTCCTTCCTGCTGTAAAGTCTTCTGTGATATTCCTATCATTCTAAACCATGACCATAAAAGAATCAATACTCTGACAGCTGGCAAAAAGCCCAAATCTTCTACCTTCTGATCATTCTACTAAATCATGACTCTTTCTCTTTAACAACAAAATTAAAGTGGCAATATCCAGTGACGACTTCCAAAGTCAATCATTTACAGCCTAGTGGTACTTCTCTTCACTTCTTTAAACACTTATTGAAGAGGTTTGTTACCATACTAAACAGTGAAGACACAAAAACAAAAAAAATTAGTGATTTCACAGTCTAGTTATAGAGATAGAAAAATGAAGAGAAATTTCATTGTAAATATAATTATTAAAAATGAAGAGTTAGTGATAAATGCCACAGAAATCTATACATTGCAGCTCAGAGGAGGGTTGCTTAACCCATCAGGGCATGAGGCATCAGGCACCAGGAAGGTTTTCTTAGAGGAGATAATACCAAGCTAAATGTTGAAGGGTGAGTATCTACAAATGAAGAAAGAATAAAAGGATGATCCAGGCAGAAGCACCAGCCTGTGTAAAAGTAAGAACATGATCGAGAGGAACAATAAATAGTATAGGATGGCTCGGGTATACAAGAGGGGTATCTCTATTAGTCAACCAAGACATTATGGCATAAACCCTAGAAGCACAGGAACACATTCTTAATGTTTCCTTAACCTGGGTAGAGTAACCTATATTTATTATTATTTTTTAAAGCTAAAAATTGTGCCACTGACTATCCCATCTCACACCTTCTTTCTTTATAGTTACTTGTAAAATGGGCATTTATGGGAGTCAGAGAGGTTCATTTACATAAAATATGAGCCACTGAGATGTTTCTCTACTCTGTTAGGAAAGGGAGCCCTCTAGCTCAGTCACAAGTTTAAGGCCAGACAGTGAGAACAGGACTTGCGGTAAGAAGGCATCAGAGGGTCTCAGGATGTCTGGGGGTATGGGGAGGAATAGGCATTTCGTGCATGGAGTGTCTCAGAAGCACAAGAGAAGCCCAAACTTTATTCACGTAGCACATTGCCCTAGGGTATGGTCCAGAGAACTGGTAGTCTGCACTTCTCTGGAAGCAGAGGAGAGTGCAGCGTTAGTCTGCCAACTCTCTTTTATTTAGCTTGCCTCATGGAAGTTTTCTCACTCTGACCACAGCCCCAAACAAAAAAGTTCTGATTTGTGGAGTATGAAAATGAAATACCCCTGCATGAGGCCTGTTAGGCGGTATCAGCCCTTTGTTTACCCTCTGCAAGGAGAGTCCTGTCAGGGAAGATGTCCACTATATGGGCTGTGGTTATAGTGCCCTGTGGCTACCCCTTTACTTTTCAGACCACCGTGTGCAGTGTGAAGAAACAGCCTGATTTCTCCACTTCAGGCCAATGGGAGGTGGTCACGGTATCTGAAGGGAAAAAGGAGGTGAATGTCTTCGATGGAGTTATGGTTTGCACTGGCCATCACACCAATGCTCACTTACCCTTGGAAAGCTTCCCTGGTAAGTAGCCTACAAGGAAGGAAGACACTTGAACTATGCCTGTGACCTGATCCCTAAAGAATGGGAGGAATGTGGTCTGAGTGATTCCTACCTTGGGATGAAATAAAGCTTATCCTAATTCTGCATATTCTTCTGAAAAGTGATGGGGTAACTTGTATTAACGCTATTTAGGAAGTAGAGATACCAGTAATTTGGGGGACTAGAGGGAAATTAGAAGGCTCTATATTTAGTTTTACAATAATTTTAGTTTTTTAAGGATAAAAGTTGATCTGCATTAGATTGAATGACGGAATTTTTCTTTTTTAATTTTTTTTGGAGTATAGTTGATTTATAATGTTGTGTTAGTTTCTGCTGTACAGCAAAGTGAGTCAGTTATTCATATAAATATATCCACTCGTTTTTAGATTCTCTTCTCATATAGGTCATTACAGAGTACTGAGAAGAGTTCCCTGTGCTATACAGTAGGTATTTATCAGTTACCTATTTTATATATAGTAGTGTGTATATGTCAATCCCAGTCTACCAGTTAATCCTTCCCCCACACCTTTCCCCCCTGGTAACCATAAGTTTGTTTTCTACATCTGTGAGTCTATTTCTGTTTTTTAAATAAGTTCATTTGTACCATTTTTTTTAGATTCCACAAATAAGCGATATCATATGATATTTGTCTTTCTCTGACTTACTTCACTCAGTATGACAATCTCTAGGTCCATCCATGTTGCTGCAAATGACATTATTTCATTCTTTTTTATGGCTGAGTAATATTCTATTGTATATATTTACCACATCTTCTTTAACCTGAATGAGGGCTTTTTTAGCAATCGAGGAAATAAACAGAAATATTGAGTTTCTAAGGAAGAAAATAAAGCTTAAAGAAAGAGTTTAATTACAGTCTTTGGCCTGGATTTTCATTCTGAGAGGAGAAAAGCACTCTATGTATAGTTTAGTGTATATAAGAACATATATACTCCAATTAGAATGGAAGTAGGTATTTACAGATGATGAAAAGAGGGGGTGGGGGATGGGCAAAATAGGTGAAGGGGATTAAGAGATAGAAGCTACCAGTTATAAAATAAAAGTCACAGGGTTGTAATATACAGCACAAGGAAAATAATCAAAAGACTGTAATATCATAATAACTTTGTATATTGCATAATCTATATAAATATCAAGTTACTATGTTGTACATCAGAAACTGATATAATATTATAAGTCAACTACACTTCAATTAAAAAAAATAAAGAGGGTGAAAAGACAAAAGAGAATGGAGGTTTTCTGAAGCAGTTTGGATTTGTGAGCCCACGGGTCTAAAATGCTAACAGATCCTGAGTTCAGCAGACTACTTATAATAAGGAAATCACAAGGTTCCACCCTGAGGTGATGGGAAAAGAAAACAGGCAAAAATATTCAGAAAGGCAACAGTGCACCTGAGTAAAAGGAGAACATACAGAGAATATATGCATAAACTCTACACACTGCAAAAAAAAATGAATGATTTAACAAATGATATCAGATAAACCATCACCCAGTAATAATTTTCCCTTCTCTTGCAGGAATTGAGAAGTTCAAAGGACAGTACTTCCATAGTCGAGATTATAAGAATCCAGAGAGTTTCACTGGAAAGAGAGTCATTATAATTGGCATTGGGAATTCTGGAAGCGATCTGGCTGTGGAAGTTAGCCACACAGCCAAGCAGGTTTGAATTAGTAAATTATTTACTTTGCTTCACCAAGGAAGCTGCAGGTGGACCCAGCAGAGTGTATGGATACCTGCACACAGCCCATCAGTGCCAATGGCAAATACAGGGCTTGGTTTCACTGCCTCAGTTGGCAACATTATGATTGATGATGTGATGGAGACAAGGTTACAAGTTAGATTCCCATCATTCACTTGGCCTCACACTAAGGAATTTGGTCATGATCACAAACTGTGCTCATAATCTCACTCAGCTGTCTCTTCAGAGTGTGCCTCTGGCTTTTAAGAAGATCAAGTGATTGCTGGGAGAGCTTGTTAGAGTGCAGCATTCAGAGTGTGGATCACCTGTTGGCCAGCAGAAGTGCTATGCTCTTATCTGAGGGAAAGTGTACTCAGTCATTGAAATCTTTTAACTCATAGGATGTTTGGGGAATTTTCCTCTTCACTCTTCATCACTCCCCGAATGGAAAAAAGAAGTCTAATCCTTCTAGAGACAACATGGGTATCAGTATGAAAAGCATCCACATTGTAGCACAGGCAAGCAGCTCCCCCCAGCCTTTGCATACAATTAGGTAACACAGAATAACATTTACTCTAAAGGAATTTCTATGTCCTTGATGTTTTTTGGTTTCCTAATTTGTTTTTTGTATCATAGCTTTTTTAAAAAAATAAATTTATTTATTTTAGTATTTATTTATTTATTTATTTTGGCTGTGTTGGGTCTTTGTTGCTGCACACGGGCTTTCTCTCTAGTTGTGGTGAGCGGGGGCTACTCTTCGTTGCAGTGTGCAGGTTTCTCATTTCGGTGTCTTGTTGCAGAGCACGGGCTCTAGCCACATGGGCTTCAGTAGTTGTGGCACGTGGGCTCAGTAGTTGTGGCCCATGGGCTTAGTTGCTCCGTGGCATGTGGAATATTCCTGGACTAGGGCTCGAACCCGTGTCCCCTACGTTGGCAGGTGGATTCTTAAACACTGGGCCACCAGGGAAGCCCTGTATCATAACTTTTGAACTGGGAAAAAAGTATCTTCATTATAAATTCCTAGAAACAGACATCACTAATATATTTTGTTATGCATGTCTTTATTGAATCATAATTTTGTTGGCAATAGGTAAATGCCTGGCTGTTCTTCAGTAACTTTAACTAAGCTGTGCTTCTCCACAAATTGTTTTTAAATTATTTTTAAAAATAGAAGTTTAATGCCACAACTTTGTTAAATGAACTTTACCCACAAACTCCATTCAGTAACACTTCCCAGGTCTATCCTCATCTATCCCCACAAAACTGATTTCATATATTACTCCATGAATTAATTCAACAAGCATTTATTAGGAAATAGGTATATAAACAATAAAGGGTAAAAATGTGTGTGGGTGCTATGATAAAAGAATGTACCAGGTATGTGGTGGGGACCGAAGGCATGAGCTTTCTTTAATACCATTGGCTTGTTAAATGGTCAGCTGTAGAGGAGCTGGGCCTTACAAGCACTGAGGAATTGTAAATTGCCAAAGAACAAGGCAGCAAGAGCGGGTGTAGGTAAGGTGGTTGTGTCTGAGAAAGCTTTGTGACGTATGTATTTTTGTCACTATTTTATACATAGAGAACTTTTTAACTGAAACTCTGAGCATTTACATTACTCATAACCTATATTTAAAAAGTTATCTAGACTGCACATAAAATCATTTGATTTCTAACACCACACAGGCTCTTTCAATTGTGACACGTAAAAGTGCTTATTTATGATAGCGGTTATGGTCACCATCGGTGAGAATATATGTATGAAGTACATAATTAGCCCTCTATAGACAGGTCACCGTTTAACATGAAATGTTAGACAAAACACCATAAAACAATGTACTTATATAGCTTACAACCCGGGAAACTATCCCCAGAGAGTTTTATAATATAAAGTGATGCTTTTGCCAGGTAGTTGAATACCAAACTTTTTATCAGCTCTGAATGTGGACTTTAGCCAGCAGATAACAGAAAGACGGACCAGCTCCCTTTGTGCTACTTGCAATCTTCAGTATTTTCCTTAAATAATTGATGAAACATTACTTAAGCACAGGCTTTGGAGTCAGACTTAGGGCGGAAATTCAGCTCTACCACTTAGTGTTATATGACCTCAGGCAAGTTATTCATCCTCTCCATTCTTCTCACCCATATAAAGGACATAACAATACCTACCTCAAGAAGTTGTTGTATTGATTAAATAAAAAAATAGATAAAGGACCTAGTACAGCGATTTACAGGTTACAATTCTCAATAAAAGGAAGTGATGCTGATGATAGGTAGGGGACTAAAGGATGTATATGCTCTACCTCCCACCTTGGAGAAAACATATTTGGAAAGATATAAAATAAGAATATATAATGTTACATGTCAATATAAGTAAGTTTTTTGTAATAATGTAAACAATGTCAAAGGCAAAATAAAGACTGAAGGTTTTGGATTAATGATGCCCAGTTGCTTTCAGCTTTACTGTTCCATGATTTTAAATGAGTTGGACAGGTGACAAGTGCTAGAGAAGTTCAGAAGATGGAGAGAAAATTATCAGCCAGAACAGTCAGTGGTGTCTTCATGGAGGAGGGAGACTTGATCTGGATCTGAAAAATGAATAGGCTTTGGAGAATTAAGCTTTTCAGGGAGGCATAATGACATTAAACAGAAATGCACTGGTAGTTCAGAGCAAGACATAGTCTTGGTCAGTGACTACCCCAATTTAATTGTAAGCTTAGTGTTTGAAAAGAAAATGGCAGGAAATTTAAAAATATATATATTACCAGGGAATGAAAAGCCAGACTAATGAGTCTGAACTTCATCTTGAAGTAACTGGGTTCCCATTCCTTCAGAGAAATGAGTCAGAGAACGGCAAAAACAAACATTTTTTTTTCCCATGCCTCAGGTTTTTCTCAGCACCAGAAGAGGGGCTTGGATCTTCAATCGTGTCGGAGATTATGGATATCCTTTTGATGTGTTGTTGACTTCTCGATTTCAATATTTTATGAGGAAGATTTGTGGTCAATCACTAGCAAATATATTTTTGGAAAAAAAGATGAACCAAAGGTTTGATCATGAACTGTTTGGCCTGAAGCCTAAACACAGGTATGTTCCCAGGCTGGGAGGTGGGCAGTAACAGCCAAGGCAAAGAATAAGGACTGTTCCCATAGGCTAATAGTACGGTTACCTCTATGTTTACATTAAGCAAGTCCACAGAATCTGAGATTAGATTTCTACCTTTCCCCCACAGAAGTCCAAGATCTACTGGTCTATAATTTTCAGGCTGTAATTCTCCTTGGCATTAACCATTTTTATCATTCCCTGAGGTACCAGTTCTTTTTACATGATGCCCAACAGCAACAACAAAATGGTAATAGAGGGCAGGGCATCTTTCATTCATTCATCCAACAAACTGAGCATCTGTTATGAGCCAAGCATTATACTGGCATGAGAATACTGAGACTAAAGACCTAATAGTAATACTAATAGTAATAATAACACCCTACCTTTTTGAGGACTTAATATAAGACAAGCACAGTGCTAAATGAGTTACGCGCATTATCTCATTTAATCCTCACAGCAGCCCTATAGGTTGGTACTATTTTGATCTCCATTTTGCAAATATAAAAATTGACACTTAGAGAACCTAATTTGCCCAAGATCACACAAGTAACAAATGACAGACTGGAGAAATGGATATTTCCTTTAATACTCTACGAAGAAGACAGACAATAGAATATGATAAAGAAATGCATGGAGTCCTATGAGAGTATGAAGGATAGAAGTCCTCACACAGCATACAAGGTAGACTGTGATAGCATTTCCAAAGGCTGATTTTAAATGCTGTTTTCCCTTCCGACTTTTATTTTATTTTTCATAAGTTTATTTATTTATTTTTGGCTGCATTGGGTCTTTGTTGCTGCACGTGGGCTTTCTCTACCTGTGGTGAACAGGTGCTACTCTTTGTTATGGTACTTGGGCTTATCGTGGTGGCTTCTCTTGTTGCAGAGCATGGGCTCTAGGTGCTCAGGCTTCAGTAGTTGTGGCATGCAGTCTCAGCAGTTTTGGCTCACGGGCTCCAGAGCGCAGGCCCAGTAGTTGTGGTGCATGTGCTTAGTTGCTCTGCAGCATATGGGATCTTCCCGGACCTGGACTCGAACCTGTGTCCCCTGTATTGGCAGGTGGATTCTTAACCACTGCGCCAACAGGGAGTCCAATGTTTAGGTTTACTTGCTATAAAATAGTAAGTACAATAAGCACCCATATACCCTTCACTTAGATTCACCTATTATTCACAGTTTACTATATTTGCTTTCTCTCTCTCCCTCTCTCTGGAGATAGATAGATCCATACATATATGGCATCCATATATACATACATGTATTCATACATTTTTTTTTCTGAACCATTCGAGAGTAAGCTGCAGTCAGTAAGACATTTTACCCTACATTCTTTAGCATATATTGCCTAAGATAAAGGGCATTCTTCTACATAAACATAATTATCACACTTAGTAAATTTAACATTGATAAAAATACCATTACCTAATATATTGCATATTCAAATTTCCCAAATTGTTTCAGTAATATTGTAGCTTTTTAAAATTTTTAGCCGTGCCATGTGGCTTAAAGTGCAGAATCCTAACTATTGGGCTGCCAGGGAATTACCTGTAGCTTTTTTATTTTTAACTCCAAGATCCTGTCGGGTATTACACCATTGCATTTAGTTGTCATATTTCTTTAATCTCTCAGTCTGAAATAAATCTCTCTTTTTTTGACATGGATTTTTTTTAAAGAATTGAAGCCATTTGTTTTGCAGAAAGTCTCTAAATTTGGACTTTCATAGCAGTTCTTCCTCTATTATATTTAGGTTAAACAGTTTTGGTGTGAATTCTCATAGGTTATGTTGTGCCTTCTTGGTGGATCACATCAGGAGCTGTATGATAGCAGCTTATTGCATATTCATGACGTAAAATTCGATCACTTGGATTAGGTGGTATCTACTAGGTTTCTTTACTGTAAAGATATTTTTTCCTTTGAAATTAATCAGTGGGGTGATATTTTGAGACTGTGCCTGCCAACAACCTTTCAGGAATTTATTTCGCCCAATTATGGAAACTGTAGCATCCATAACTTTGGTGATCACAAAATATATTGAGGTTATATGGAATAATAGAAGAGAGTCAAACAAACAGGGTAAGGAAGTAGCATTCTAATTATAAATACAAGGTCTTGGAATAGCAAAAAATACATTATGCTCTGAGACCTGCACACAGTTTGGTTTGGCTGGACTACAGGCAAAGATGGAAGAGTGACTGAGTACATCTCCTGGTTCACTGGGCAGATATATGAAAATGTTTGTATGCTCTGCTAAATAAAAAGTTTAGAATGAAGACAGCCCACAGCCACTGAAAGATTTTAAGCAGGTGAGTGACACAATAATAAATACATTTTGGAACAATCACTCCAAAAATGATGTAGAAGATAGACTGAAAGGGGATGGAGCAGGAGGCACTAGAGACAGCTGTAATGGCCCAGGTGAAACAGCACAAGTAAAACTATTCTGGGGGTGTTAAGAGGAGAAAGCGTGGCCTTGGTGACCAGATGTAAGACTCACAGTTTTGTGGCTTGGGCCACAAAATGTGGATGGTGGTACTGTTAGTGAACAGGAGTAAGTTTGGAGAGAAAGATGAAATGATGAGGTTGGAATGAGAACAGAATCTGTACCTAAAGGTTTGCATCAAAGAATTACTAAATGCAGCAAACCAGTAATACTGTTTAAACATATCTTGTTCCTAAGAAGAGGCCAGCTCTGTCTGAACATGATGGGCTGAGGATTCTCAGAGCTGTTAACACAGGGTCCAGGATTCACACTGCTTTTAGAAAGGTTCTGCACCTTATCCTATGTTATTTCAAGGAAACACTACTTACCATGCCTAGAGTATCTCAAGGGAGTTCATAAAAAAACATTTGATATAAATCCTAAAATCCTAGGCTGTGTGACCTTGGGCAAGCCACTTAACTTCTTCAGGCCTCAGTTTCCTCCTCTATAGGACCTGGATAATGACAACTGTCCTGCCTCCTTCATTGGGTTTGCATGAGATTCAAATACGTTAATGTACGTAAAAACAGTTTATAACTGTAAGTCACTATACACATGTAATTTATTATACCTTTTGGAAAATGATGGTCCAAGCCTGGCTCTTGGGCCTTTGAAGCGGAAAAGAGACTCAACAGAATGCTGATAGTCCAGTTCCGCAGATCTCTTGATATATGGATAGAAGCTACTAGACTGTGGCCTTATCATATCACTGAGAGCATTATTAGACCTTGAGAAACCATGCACGTACTCATCAAATAAAACAATCCTTCCCTAACTTCTCCAACAGCTTCTCTTTCAATGCCATCCAGGGTCAAACTTCTTTTTTTTTTTTCCTTGCGGTACGCGGGCCTCTCACTGTCGTGGCCTCTCCCGTTGCAGAGCACAGGCTCTGGACACGCAGGCCCAGCGGCCATGGCTCACGGGCCCAGGCGCTCCGCAGCATGTGGGATCTTCCCAGACCAGGCCACGAACCCGTGTGCCCTGCATCGGCAGGTGGACTCTCAACCACTGCGCCACCAGGGAAGCCCCAGGGTCCAACTTTTACTCTGAGATCCTTACCTTTATCAAGCTGGTATACATCAGACCTTTCCCAAATTTCATGAATAAAGGGAGACTATTGGCATATTGATTAACCACCTCAATCAAAATAGAATTTTACTTACATGGTAATGATCTCTCTCTCTCATGATCTCTCTCGTTTTTCCTTCTTTATCATCTTTCACAGAGTTCTGAGTCAGCAACCAACCATAAATGATGATCTGCCAAACTGTATAATTTCTGGCTTGGTGAAGGTGAAATCAAACGTGAAGGAATTCACAGAGACAGCGGCCATATTTGAGGATGGCTCCAGGGAGGATGACATTGATGCTGTTATCTTTGCTACAGGCTATAGCTTTGCCTTTCCTTTTGTTGAAGATTCTGTAAAAGTAGTCAAAAACAAGATATCTCTGTATAAAAAGGTCTTCCCTCCTAACCTAGAAAAGCCAACTCTTGCAATCATAGGCTTGATCCAGCCCTTGGGTGCCATTATGCCCATTTCAGAGCTCCAAGGACGCTGGGTCACTCAAGTATTTAAAGGTAAGTGACCATGCAAGATGACTACCGAATTACTTAGTGGTTTGTTTAATTATGTTTATGTTCTTGCTTATAAATAGCTGAGACAGCATGTATGATTGTAACAGTGCCTGGTACAAAATTAGTGCTCAAAAATTAATTTTTGAGGGAATATAAAGTAGTAACTTATAATCATGGACACATAGCAGAATCTCCTAGGAAGTTTCCCCAAAACAGACATGTTTTTCCTGATGGTGTTTATTTAATAAGTCTGGTGTGGGACTGACATAAGATTGCTGAGAAAATGTTCCCCAGGTGATTCCAATATGCACTCCAGTTTAAAATCCACTCATCTAGATTTTAGACAACTGATACATATTTGTGAAGCAAAAGAATTTAATCTTCTTTCATTATTGTTAGAGAGAGTCACATATAGAAGTGCTGTGATTTCATTTTAGACAAAAATTAAGAGCTGGTTAAAGACTAGTCCAGAATGAAGAAGATTCAGCCACTCAAAGTCTTACTTTCCCCCCTTTATATTCCCTCTTTCAGAAAGTTTTGGCTAGGAAAACATGAGAAACAACTTTGGGGTTTGGGATAGCAGGCTCAATATGAATCAGCAGAATGATGTGGCTTCCAAAAGACTTAACTATATCTGTCATCATTAAAAAACTATAATGTCCTGGAATTTACAACTGTTCTTCCTTGAACTGGTCAGACCACACCCAAAGATATTTTAAAAGTGAATCTGGAGTACATTAAAAGGAGAGAGACAAGAGTGGTTAAGGGGTTTGAAAATGTGCCATTTGAAGTACAGCTAAAGGAGCTGGAGAGGTTTGGCCTGGAGAGGATAAGATTTTGGGGAGATATGGTTCAGATACCTGCAGAGACTCCCCATGGCAGAAGGTTTTATATATTTGCTTAGTATCACTTCAAAGCATTGAACCAGAACCAAGGAGTGAAATTTTGAGGGTTTGCACAATATTAGCTTAACATTAAAAATAAACTTTGGTCAGGCCAGTATGGAGTAGATTCAAGCCTCAGAATAGGGAGAAATCAAATGACTTTTAAGGTTCCTTCTAACAAAAAAGTTCTTTGTACAATTACTAATGTTTAATTAAAACTATTCAAAGTTCTTGTTGAGGGACTTCCCTGGTGGTCCAGTGGCTAAGACTCCACATCCCCAATGCAGGGGGCCTGGGTTTGATCCCTGGTCAGGGAACTAGATCCCACATGACACAACTAAAGATCCAGCATGCTGCAAAGAGGATCCTGCGTAGCACATCTAAGACCTGGCACAGCCAAGTAAATAAATAAATGCTTTTAGAGAGTTCTTATTGAAATTACAGATTCTTCTTCCCTAGTGAAGATCCTCATGGTAGCAGAGAAAAAAGCAGCAATGATGTTAGAGTTGATAGATAAAAAACTTTTCCAAATTTCCCCAAAGTTCTTTCATTTCTTTTTTTTTTTTAATTTTTTGGCTGTGCCCTGGGGCATGTGGGAATCATAGTTCCCCAACTAGGGATCGAACCCACGCCCCCTGCAGCGGAAGCATGGAGTCTTAACCACTGGACTGCCAGGGAAGTCCCAAAGTTCTTTCATTTCTTAATTCCTTTTAATTCTATCCAGTAGATCATGTACTCCTTGAGCACTGGACCAGCAATCCAATGCAAGTAACCCGTTAAGTTGGCTTAATTCCAGTCATATAAAGTGAATCTTTTAACTGGGTTAATTAAGTAAGAGGAAAAAGTTGCATTAAAATAGGCCACAGCATCTTGTATACTTTGAACAACTGAGACTCTTTTCCAGGACCAAGTGAACCATTAAGAGGATTAGGGAAAATGAGTTATTTGGAAGATTACGCATTATGGCTATGGGATTAGGGGATCTTAGGGGAAATACACAAAAAGCCCAGTTTCCTCTGCTAGCAAATCTTAGTGCTAATCCCTCTAGCTTTCTTCTAACACTTGGAAGGAAGGAATCATCAGAGAATCCCTATAACTTTATCAAGTTTCCAAAAGGAACCCTGAGTTTTTTGTTCTACTCTCTGCTTACCAAATCCTTGCTTTCTCATCACTGAATTCTGCTTTCACTGTACCAATTTTAAGACCTTAGAATCAGCTAGTTTCTCCCATTCTTTCAAACCTGCCAAACTCAGCCTGTCCTCTTCCCTGGCCTGTCCTTTACCCACCAAGCCACATTTCCCTTCCTCCTTTGTCCTCTAGAATTACTATTCTCTTGTCAAGAAAATATTCCACACTTTTATAGAACACTGAACCCACTTGCTTACCTTGACAGAAATCTAGTTTTCTTTTGTCTCATTTGTAGCCCTCTCAAGAGCCCTTGCAAGTGTTCCACTTTCATTTAGTAACTTTCTTCCCTTGCAAACCGTATGAAATGATACCAATTCTCCGGATCACAAGGAAGCATTATATCATAGCATGGCATTCACGTTCCTCCACAAATTGGATACAGGCTGCTTTTCAGGCCCATCTTTTGCAGGTCTTTACCATCCATCCTACAATCTTCTAGATGCACTGAATGACTTACCCACTATGCAGCAAACACAACAGGTACTCTTGTACCTTATGTCTTTGCTTCTGTTGCTCTCTCTGCCTGGTATGCCTCCCCTTTACTCGTTATTTGTGTGGAAAAAGCCTGTTTATTTCCTCCCTCTCTTTGTAGTATATTGAAAGCTCTGTAAATAAAAGAATCATGTTTATTTGCCTTTGTCTTCCAAGTCTAGACCAGTGCCTAGCACATGGGAGGTAGCTAATACATCTCTATTCAATGACTGCAAGTTTAGTTTTGGAGGTTTTCTAAACTCTACAGTAGAAAGTTCTTATCTGAGGATCTCAGCTTATGAACTACCTTCTCAATTTCAGGTCATGGTAAAAGGCTGGACTGGACTGAAAGAGCAGAATGGCAGCCACACCTCCTTTCTCTTGTAACATAGTCTTTACATTTAAAGTGCAGGGACTAGTCAGGACTACATAAATACAATCTGACTTAGGTCTCAGAGCCGACTGAAAGACTTAGTTCCACAGAGTTAAAATTCAGGCTCACCCCGTTTGAACCTTGTCTTGGAACCCTTAGGAAATCTCTGAACTTCAGTTCCACACTGTTCTTCAACAACATTTGTCAGCTAACATTTACTGGCCTCTTAGTGTATGCCAGACCCTCTGCTAGGTGCTGGAGATGCAAATATGACCAAATAGAAAATTCCTATCTTTATGGAACTCAGAGTCAAGCAAGGGAGACAAGTAAACAGACATTTAATGTGTTCATTCATTCAGCAGGTATTTACTATATCCTAAACAAGGGTCCAATAACAATGTAGAGGAGCTGGCTATGGGAGCAGAAAGGAATAAGTACCCAATTCTCCCTACAACTGCAAATACACTGTAAAAAAGAAGAGTTTACTAAAAGGACAACGCCATCTTGACCAGAGAAGAGAATAATTAGTAATATTTATGCAAATTTAGAGAAAATGACAAAATAAACCAAGTCCTGAGAACTATAAGGAGTTCAGAATTCTGGAGAATAAAGTATTATAGGAATTAAAGAAAATGAAGCTGGAGATATTTATAGAGGCAAAACCAAGAAAAATCCTTAGGTGCCATGCAAGAAGTTCACATTCAATGTAGGCAACAGAGAACAATTGAAGGATTAACTGGCAGAGGGGGAGTCAAATCAGATTTCTAATTCAGAAGATGTGTTAGAGGGAAATGAAATGGGAAATAGGTCAGCTGCGAGCCTGTGACAAAAGTCCAAGAAAGGCGTAATGAGGGCTTTAAACTAAGGTAAAGGACTACAAGGAGACAAATTTGAATGAAATTTCATTGGTGAATTTGAAAAGATTTGGATGGAATGTATGTTGGAGATGAAAGCGAGAAAAAGAATCTGCTCAGGGCTGTGGCCATTGATGTAAACTGGTAATATAAGAGGAGGAGCAAGATAGGAAGGAGGGAGATACACATGGTAAAAATGACATGTGCCTGAACGAGGAAACATTGCAACAACAGTATCAATGAATTAAGAACTGCACCACCGGATACAGTACACATCTTTATATATTCCTATCTATTTACCTATCTAATTTATAGTGATTTTTTCTTTGGTTGGGTTTTTGTTTTGTTTTGTTTTTTGGATGAATTGGCTGTGTCACAGGCAAGAAATGACCTCCTCCTCCATAATGTTTCTACTTAAGAGAAGTAAAAATTACGGTGGTTCTATGAGAAATAATTTGGAAATCAACTCTCAAACTGTGTTTCATGAGCGTCTTAAGACCTGTGATTAACTTCAAATGAAGCATTTCAGTGATTCCTCATTGAGTTATGAACATACGTAATAATTCCCAGGCTAAAATGAAAAGAACACATGGCAAAACACAAAAGGCTATTTCTTGAGTGTTGAATTTGAGTCTCATGTTTTAAGAGGGACACACCAGGATAGTTACTAGAGTGTGCCTAGAGAAGGGTAACCAATGTGGCAGAAAATGTGAAACCTGTTATATGGGGAACTGTTAAGGCTTTAAGGCTGATAATGGGAAGACTTAAAGAAGTTATGACAGTTGTTCTCAAATGGTGCAAACGCTGTCATTATTTAATACTAGACTCCTTGGCCCCAGAAGGCAGAGCTAAGTCCACTGGTGCCAGTTGCATGGAGCCAGGTTCTGGGGTCAATGAAAAGAATAATGTTCCAGCAAGTAGAGCAGCCAAACAATTAAATCATCTCCTCAGGTGATGAGATCCCCATCACCAGAGATATTTAAGGAGGAATGAGATAACCACTTGAGAGTACTTGTACAGAGGATTGTATTAGGTAAGATATATTCCCATTCTAAAATTACACATTCCAGAATTTTGTGGAATAACACTTTAGAGTTGGGTGTGGCTAAAGTTTTCTACATGGCATAGTGCCTGTAAATCCGGGCATAAAGCTAATCATTTAAATTGAGAGTTGTCTATGTCAACTTAAATACTATTCTACCTTTGTCTAGCCATGTCCTTGGTGTTAAATTCCTGCTACTGGAACTGTTCATTGGTGCTTAAATTTATCTGTTAAGATTGGGTATTATGAGTTGCCCTTGACCTTACCCCTCACTCTCAGTAAATAAAAAATTTAGAAGGTAAGGCTTATCTTCCATGGAACTGTAGGCATACAACAGGACTGAGAGTTTACTTTTACTTCCTTCTCCCTGTGGTATAAAGCCTCTTTGTTAATAAGAGTACAAGTACAGGGGTGTTTCCCATATTCCCCCCGCCCTTTTACTTTGTACCTCATTTTCCATATACTTTTAAGGCCATTTATCATTTCCTCATGTCCATATTTCATTTCCCAATTGAAAGACTATGTTAGGGAGGAGGCAGCTTTTGGTTGGAAAGCAGATTAGGAGAAATACCTTACAAAGACAAAGTAGAAAAGAGTAAACTACTGAGGTTAATGATTATATTCTGGTGGTGGTAGGGTAAGGTGATCAAGCGAAGGTGTAACCTCCTTGGTACAGACAACTAGCCTGTATTCCTTTGAATTTTCCATAGCATGGTAATTGTTAATAGGGTTAGTGTTCATACTGAGGTAATTTTAATTTTACACTTAAAAATTTGATTTTTCTCTTTAGGGATAAAGACATTGCCCTCACAAAATGAAATGATAAAAGAAATAGCTAAGGTTCGAGAGGATATGGCCAAAAGGTAAGAATTCTCCTAGGAAGATAGGTGGTTATTTTTTCCCACTTCTTTCTTAATAAGAGCAATGTTGTATTTGTATTCATTGTCCTCATGTCTGTTTAAGGATTTAGAGTATATTTTGAAGGAAAAGGAAATAATAGTTTGTGACAATAGAATAGAGAAATACCACCAAGTGGTTTGAATATGGATGGGAAAGGAGAGAAAAGCTTAAGAAAATTCTATGTTTAGGGCCTAAAAGAAAAGTCAAGTAGGAAAAAGCACATGGAGAGAAAACCAGGTATATTATTTTGGCAAGGATTACTTGAAGGACTGTTAGAGCTGCCAGAGAAAGGAAAGGCAGTGATGAATTAATGAGAGGTAGATATGGTTAAATTACAAATCAGTAGGTAGATTTACAAATCTGCAGAGGCCACTTTGCTGGCTGTCATGTGACAGCATACCCAGGTCACATTGGCTCTTGGTATGAGTAATCTATAGGATCTGGGAAGGTGGTACCATCAGCCAGTATTTTAGTGCTTGGGTGGACACATTTAGCAATCTGAATTTCAGAACTTGTGCTTATTCACTGGTGATCTTTATTTGAACAAAGTTGATGTTGATGAAGTTCCTAAATTTTTGTGGAAAAGTCAGAGGCACAATCATCCCACGCCCAAAGACGTGGTTTTCTTCAATTGATTATGCCAGCATAACTCTCCCTTCTGCAAGGAGGAGAAAGCACTTTTTTATTTAACCCTGATACCCTTTCTAGGTGCTCTCCTATTTTCCTCCTTCCTTTCACTCCCAAACTTCTACAATATATAATCTACATTATATATATTGACTTGTAATCCTTTCCTCTTTGTTCTCAGCTTATCTATTTCTTCCACATCCTTCAAGGACTTATCATAGCTCGATTTTAACTACCCTCTTCTACATTTCTATTTAGGAGTCTAATACCACATGATTTACCAAAAGTCTTACATTCTTCTCTGTTTCATGTGTATCTATCTTATCGAGTCCAGTGGACTATAAGGCCCTTAAGGATAGAGACAGTGTCTTTCTTCACTATTTTCTGCAGCTCCTAGCTCAATATTGAGCCAAGAGCAGATAGGAAGCATTGATTAATTGATGGAGTGACTGAATTGTTAATAGGCATGGCTTCTGTCTTCTCTGCTTCAGGTACGTGGACAGCCAACGCCATACCATTCAGGGAGACTATATAGATACCATGGACGAGCTTGCTGACCTGGTGGGCGTCAGGCCCAATCTGCTGTCCCTGGCCTTCACTGACCCCAAATTGGCATTACAGTTATTTTGGGGACCCTGTACTCCAATCCAGTATCGGCTACACGGCCCTGGAAAGTGGGATGGAGCTCGAAAAGCTATCCTCACCACAGAAGATCGTATCAGGAAGCCGCTAATGACAAGAGTAACTGAAAGCAACAATTCCACAACTTCAACAATAACAATGGCCAGGTTTATGCTGGCTGTGGCTTTCTTTGCTATAATTATGACCTATTTTTAGCTGTTCCATTGTCACTGTCCCAGTTTTCTTTGAAAGCTAGATCTGGAGATGCCTTCAGAACCTGACAAGATTGAACAACTCTCAGCTTCACATTGCCCAGAAATCTACTTTTATTTCTCTTTCCAAAGCATTAATCCTTTTTTCCTCTTTTCCCTACAGTGAAATCTCAGCTTTTCATTTGTACTGACTTACCTCCCTTACTCTTATGACCCATCACTTTTTCCTTCCAGTAATTCCTGGACTGTGAGCTCAGGTACTCTGTTAGTCATCTTTGTTTGTCCTTAGCAGAGTTCCTGACATGTGGTAGGTGCTTTCTTTTCTTTTTTTTTGACATGTTTATTGGAGTATAAATGCTTTACAATATTGTGTTAATTTCTGCTGTACGACAAAGTGAGTCAGCTATGTGTATACATATATCCCCATATCCCCTCCCTCTTCAGCTTCCCTCCCACCCTCCCTATCCCATCCCTCTAGGTCATCACAAAGCATTGAGCTGATCTCCCTGTGCTATGCAGCAGCTTCCCACTAGCCATCCACTTTACATTTGGTAGTGTATATATGTCAATGCTACTCTCTCACTTCATCCCAGCTTCCTCTTCCCCGCTGTGTCCTCAAGTCCGTTCTCTAAGTCTGCATCTTTATTCCTGCCCTGCCCCTAGGTTCATCTGTACCACTTTTTTAAATCGCATATATATGCGTTAGCATACAGTATTTTTTTTCTCTTTCTGACTTACTTCACTCTGTATGACAGATTCTAGGTCCATGCACCTCAGCACAAATAACTCAATTTCGTTCCTTTTTATGGCTGAGTAATATTCCAATATATATATATGTGCCACATCTTCTTTATCCATTCATCTGTTAATGGACACTTAGGTTGGTTCCATGTCCTGGCTATTGTAAATAGTGCTGCAATGAACATTGTGGTACATGACTCTTTTTGAATTATGGTTTTCTCAGGGTATATGCCCAGTAGTGGGATTGCTGGGTCATATGGTAGTTCTATTTGTAGTTTTTTAAGGAACCTACATACTGTTCTCAATAGTGGATCTATCAATTTACATTCCCACCAACAGTGCAAGAGGGTTCCCTTTTCTCCACACCCTCTCCAGCATTTATTGTTAATAGATTTTTTGCTGATGGCCATTCTGACCAGTGTGAGGTGATACCTCATTTTGGTTTTGACTTGCATTTCTCTAATGATTAGTAACGTTGAGCATATTTTCATGTATCTGTTAGCTATCTGTATGTCCTCTTTAGAGAAATGTCTATCTAGGTCTTCTGCCCATTTTTGGATTGGGTTGTTTGTTTTTATGATATTGAGCTGCATGAGCTGATTGTATATTTTGGAGATTAATCCTTTGTCAGTTGCTTCGTTTGCAAATATTTTCTCCCATTCTGAGGGTTGTCTTTTCATCTTGTTTATGGTTTCCTTTGCTGTGCAAAAGCTTTGAAGTTTCATTAGGTCCCATTTGTTTATTTTTGTTTTTATTTCCCTTATTCTAGGAGGTGGGTCAAAAAGGATCTTGCTGTGATTTATGTCATAGAGTGTTCTCCCTATGTTTTCCTCTAAGTGTTTTATAGTGTCTGGCCTTACATTTAGGTCTTTAATTCATTTTGACTTTATTTTTGTATCTGGAGTTAGGGTGTGTTCTAATTTCATTCTTTTACATGTAGCTGTCCAGTTTTCCCAGCACTCCTTATTGAAGAGGCTGTGTTTTCTCCATTGTATATTCTTGTCTCCTTTATCAAAGACAAGGTGACCCTATGTGCATGGGTCTATCTCTGGGCTTTCTATCCTTTTCTATTGATCTATATTTCTGTTTTGGTGCCAGTACCATACTATCTTGATTACTGTAGCTTTGTAGTATAGTCTGAAGCCAGGAAGCCTGATTCCTCCGGGTCTGTTTTTCTTTCTCAAGATTGCTTTGGCTATTTGGGGTATTTTGTGCTTCCATACAAAATTGTGGAATTTTTTGTTCTAGTTCTGTGAAAAATGCCACTGGTAATTTGATAAGGATTGCATTGAATCTGTAGATCGCTTTGGGTAGTATAGTTATTTTCACAATATTGATTCTTCCAATCCAGGAGCATGGTATACCTCTCCATCTGTTTATGTTATCTTTGATTTCTTTCATCAGTGTTTTATAGTTTTCTGAGTACAGAACTTTTGCCTCCTGAGGTAGGTTTATTCCTAGGTATTTTATTTTTTTTTGTTGCGATGGTAAATCGGATTGTTTCCTCAATTTCTCTTTCTGATCTTTTGTTGTTAGTGTATAGGAGTGTAAGAGATTTCTGTGCATTAATTTTGTATCCTGCAACCTTACCAAATTCATTGATTAGCTCTAGTAGTTTTCCGGTGACATCCTTAGAATTTTCTATGTATAGTATCATGTCATTGGCAAACAGTCACAGTTTTACTTCTTTTCCAATTTGTATGCCTTTTATTTCTTTTTCTTCTCTGATTGCTGTGGCTAGGACTCCCAATACTATGTTGAATAATAGTGGCAAGAGTGGACTTTCTTGTCTTGTTCCTGATCTTAGAGGAAATGCTTTCAGTTTTTCACCATTGAGAATGATGTCTTCTGTGGGTTTGTCATATATGGTCTTTATTATGTTGAGGTACGTTCCCTCTATGCCCACTTTCTGGAGTTTTTGTCATAAATGGGTGTTGAATTCTGCCAAAAGCTTTTTCTGCATTTATTGAGATAATCATATGGTTTTTATTCCTTAATTTATTAATATGGTGTATCACATTGATTGTTTTATGTATATTGAAGAATCCTTGGATCCCTGGGATAAATCCCACTTGATCATGGTGTATGATTCTTTTAATGTGCTGTTGGATTCTGTTTGCTAATATTTTGTTGAGGATTTTTGCATCTATGTTCATCAGTGATATTGGTCTCTAATTTTCTTTTTTTGTGATATGTTTGTTTGGTTTTGGTATCAGGGTGATGGCGGCCCTCATAGAATAATTTGGGAGTGTTCCTCTCTCCACAATTTTTCGGAAGAGTTTGAAAAGGATAGGTGTTAACTCTTCTCTAAGTGTCTTAGAGAATTCTCCTGTGAAGCCATCTGTTCCTAGACTTTTGTTTGTTGGAATATTTTTAATTACAGTTTCAATTTCATAACCTGTGATTGGTCTGTTTATGTTTTCTAATTCTTCCTGGTTCAATCTTGGAAAATTGTACTTTTCCAGGAATTTGTCCATTTCTTCCAGGTTGTCCATTTTATTGGCATAGAGTTGCTTGTAGTAGTCTCTTATAATCTTTTGTATTTCTGTGGTGTCAGTTGTAATCTCTCCCTTTTCATTTCTAATTTTATTGATTTGAGTCCTCTCCCTTTTTTTCTTGATAAGTCTGGCTAAAGGTTTAACAGTTTTGTTTATCTTCTCAAAGAACCAGTTTTTAGTTTTATTGATCTTTGCTATTGTTTTCTTTGTTTCTATTTCATTTATTTTTGCTCTGATCTTATGATTTCTTTCCTTCTGCTAATTTTGGGTTTTCTTTGTTCTTTTTCTAGTTGCTTTAGGTGTAAGGTTAGATTGTTTATTTTAGATTCTTCTTGTTTCTTGAGGTGAGCTTGAATTGCTATGAACTTCCCTGTTACAACTGCTTAAGCTGTGTCCCATAGGTTTGGGATCATTGTGTTTTCATTGCCATTTGTTTCTAGGTATTTTTTGATTTCTTCTTTGATTTCTTCATTGATCTCTTGGTTATTTAGCAGCACACTGTTTAGCCTCCATGTATTTGTCTTTTACTGTTCTTTTTCCTGTAATTGATTTCTAATCTCATAGCATTGTGGTCAGAAAACATGCTTGATACAATTTCAATTTTCTTAAATTTTCCAAGGCTTGATTAGTGATCTATTCTGGAGATCATTCCAGGTGCACCTCAGAAGAAAGTGTATTTTCCCACTTTCAGGTGGAATGTCCTAAGAATATCAATTAGGTCTCTTTGGTCTATTGTGTCTTTTAAAACTTGTGTTTCCTTATTTATTTTCTCTCTGGATGATCTGCCTATTGGTGTAAGTGGGGTGTTAAAATCCCCCACTACTATTGTGTTACTGTTGATTTCCCTTTATGGCTGTTAATATTTGCCTTATGTATTGAGGTACTCCTATGTTGGGTGCATAAATATTTATAGTTGTTACGTTTTCTTCTTGGATTGATCGCTTGATCATGATGTAGTGTCCTTCCTTATCTCTTGTAACAGTCTTTATTTTAAAACTATTTTATCTTATATAAGTATAGCTACTCCAGCTTTCTTTTGATTTCCATTGGCATGCAATATATTTTTCCATCCCCTCACTTTCAGTCTATATGTGTCCCTAGATCTGAAGTGGGTTTCTTGTAGACAGCATATATAAGGCTCTTGTTTTTGTATCCATTCAGCCAGTCTGTCTTTTGGTTGGAGCATTTAATCCATTTACATTCAAGGTTATTATCAATATGGATGTTCCTATTACCATTTTCTTAATTGATTTGGGTTTGTTTTTGTGGGTCTTTTTCTTTAGTGTTTCCGCTTAGAGAAGTTCCTTTAGCATTTTGTTGTAAAGCTGGTTTGGTGGTGCTGAATTCCCTTAGCTTTTGCTTGTCTGTAAAGCTTTTGATTTCTCTGTCAAATCTGAATGAGATCCTTGGCAGGTAGACTAATCTTGGTTGTCAGTTTTTCTCTTTCATCACTTTAAATATGTCCTACCAGTCCCTTCTGGCTTGCAGAGTTTCTGCTGAAAGATCATCTGTTAATCTTATGGGGATTCCTTTTTATGTTATTTGTTGATTTTCCCATGTTGCTTTCAATATTTTTTCTTTGTATTTAATTTTTAATAGTTTGATTAATATGTGTGTCAGCGTGTTTCTCTTTGGGTTCATCCTGTATGGGACTCTCTGCACTTCCTGGACTTGATTGACTATTTCCTTTCCCGTGTTATGTAAGTTTTTGACTATAATCTATTCAAATATTTTCTCACTTTATTTTTCTCTTCTTCTTCTGGGACCCCTCTAATTCAAATGTTGGTGTGTTTAATATGGTCCCAGAGGTCTCTGAGACTGTTGTCAGTTCTTTTCATTCTTTTTTCTGCTCCCTGCTGTTATTTCCACCATTTTATCTTCCAGCTCACTTATCCGTTCTTCTGCCT